CAGCTGGCTTTTCCTGGTAACACCTCGTCGTTTTACTAAGAGATAGTACAAGGGTATAAACAATCGATTGTTAAACTTCAACATCTGGTATGGATTGAGAACCAATTTAAAAAAAAGCTGACAGTGACAACGTCTATTTTTACCTTTAATCTCTGGAAATATTAGTCGAAATGATGTTGAAAATGAATAAAATGATGTCGAAAAATGTTGGAGGCTTTGTGTCATATAACCATAAAAATCAGGTCTAAAGTACATAGGGCGCAGGTCTAGCGCCTTTGAGGGACGCCGTATTTCCTTTTGGCCAGCTCGGGGTCCTGCGCCTGTCGATGACGTCACACTTGATGATTGGCTGGATGTATGACATTACCACGTTCAAAAACATTTAGGCTGTAAGAAACTTGAATTTAAAAACAAAACTGCAAAACTCTTTCCAAAACATATGTGAAAGAACAGACTCGAAAAAGAGATGCAATATATTTTGGCCGAGCGGTATTGCCGTAGTATGACATCATCGGCAGGTGCAGGACCCTGAGCAGATCTGGGGCCTCATTTATCAAACGTTCGTAGAAACGTTGCTATATTCTATCCTACGAATGGAATTTAGAATGTTCATGCGAACAGCCCAAAGTCTGATTTATGAAACATGCGGTGGCCTCTCGTACGCACGTTTTAAAATCCCACCTGTGTGTACCCAGGAGCTTGTGTCCGTTTGCCGTCATTAACATAAAGAAACGCCCTCAAATAAACATATTTGGTCCCGCTACGTCCTCAGCACGTGAGGGGATTCCCTGTTTTTTTCCCAGAAAAAAATAAGAAAAACTTTATTGACAGCCACATCGAGATACTGGATGCCGAAGCGCAAAAGAACCAAAAAAGTTGCAGAGGTTATAAACGCAGTCGGGACAGAGGGGAAAAAAATGGATTTTAAAATTGTAGAGTAACGGGTTGTCGTTTACATTTAAGGAGTCGTTCTGTTTGGAGTTAGTTTCATTTAAATGTTGTCTGAGTGCAGCCTCAGCCTTCTGACCTGTCATTCAGTTTGGCAGTGTGTATGATCGTTGAGTAGAGGATGTTCTGGGGGGTTCTCATAGTTGTAAAATAAAATGAGAACTGGAATCGGATTCGTGAGGTTTGTCTGTCGCACCACAAAGGGTTCCAAATCCTAGCGTAGGAGAAAGATTTCCTAGTGCGCTCACGGAGAACGTGTTCCCTCCAGAGTGCACGCTCTGTTAAATCTCAAATAACACATCAGCCATGATTTTATGTCTTTTATTTGTTTTGGCACCAATTAAGCGCAAAAGCTGTTTTTCCACTGACGATCAGCGATGTTCTTATACTTAGGAACATTTCTAAGAACAAGTACAAAATGATAAATACCACACAATGCATAGAATTGTTCCTACACACAAAATACGCACAGAAATGTGCGTAAGTAAGTTTGATATATGAGGGCTCTGGAAACTACAGCGCCAGTAAACTAGCATCGGCATTGCATTCTCCCGATGGAATTAACTGAAGGACCATCAAAGTCTGAGGAGTCACGCCGAGGTTGCATGCTTTCTGTGCCACAGGTAACATTTACCGTAATGTTTTTTTTTTTTACTAGTGACAGTCGCAGTGATATGGTGTAAAATAACTCTGAAATGCATGTACTGCCCCCTGGTGGCAGGAAACAACACACTGCCACTTTGGGCAAAGCAAATATCTTCATTTAGCCTTGCTCCAGTAGCTCATGAGAATCTTCGCTAAAAGCCGTGGTTTAAAATAGTCTTTAATAAATGTGAACTACTTTCTACTACAGCTGGTTATGGTAGGATTATGCAAACTCAAAAACGTTCTGACAGATTCCAGAAAAATTACAATATCTTTGGTCGAAGGTCACAGATCGTCAGGGATGATCGAGTTTTAGGCTGAAGTGTTTACAGAAAGATGGGCTACAGTTTTTGTGAATCGGTCTCATGTCATCACTTCTATTCAGGAAACGGAAACGGGACCTAAATCAAAATTCACAAACCAAACTGTAACTATGAAATTTCCTAGAAAAAGTTGCCCCTACACTACAAAGGCAGTATATAGTCCTTCTTTCTTGTTCTGAAAGAGATAATGAGACAGCGATATGTGATCTTCTGGCTAAGTTCGAGTGCTTTTATCTGCAGAACTAAAAAGACTTCCTTAAATCCACTTTCTGCCAAAAAGCTCGGGGAACATGTGGGGCTCTGCTAAAGGTCAACAAGCAGAGAGGATCCTTATCAACAGCTCATCTGGATATTGTCATAGCTGCATTTTCTTGTCTCGCTCAACCACTTTGTGTTAATCTGCAGCTACTCAGACGGTAAGGCTCGATAAGTGGGCTTGATGCAAATTCTCGGGGACAGCATCTTATTTCAGGCGGGCTTTGGCAGTAACTCGGTTCCATACATCCAAATTGAATGCAGAGGTTATGCAGTGCTTCACAAAATTAAATATGAGATGGTCAAAACTCACTGATTTATCTGCCTTTAAGTTCCAAACAGAAATTACTCGAGCAGAAGGTTGGAAGGAGGGGGTGGAGGTGGACAGATGTGTCACTGCTCAAGAAATTCAATTAAGCAGACAGTGGGATGTTGCCAAAGCCAAGAGTTCATTACGCCCTCCACCAGCCCCCACCTCTCCACTCCGAAGAGTCCCAACCAACCCACTACGTCTGTTCAGCCACTTCCACAACGCCACAAGATTCATCAGGGCCCCTTTCCTGGACTTCTCTTCTCATTTTCAATCCAGAAATCAAAATTCTGCATATTTAACTAAGACTACCTTATAAAAAGAGTACAAGAACCAAGCATCTAACCGGTTGGATACACAAACATAATTATCCTCCTCCTCTTTGACTGTGTTGGTGTGTGTCTACCAGACAGATGCTGTTCATTTAGCACTTGAGTGGCGATCCTCGAGCTTGTCCCCTAAATGCCCAGGGGAGCCCGTGGCATTTGGACAGCATTAAATAAAGCCTCCCTAGACCTCACACCATGGGGAGATCCGACCTCACAACATGGTGACTGCTCTCAGATTTCAACCAGCAGACTCTGTAAATCTGTGCTGGTGCAGCAGACCAGCGACCGTTTAATCCCCAAGCTTCGGCACACAGTTATCGAACCTGCAATAGTAAACTAAGATCAGAGAATTGCTCCATTGTTTTTATCCAACAGCATCTTAAGAACAATCAGTTCTGGTATTTTTCTAAATGAAGTTGTTTACAAGAACATAAAAGTCCGCTCAGCCTCGTGTTTTACAAGATAAAATCACTCATTACCAGCGCACTGCTTCTAACAATGACATCAAAGTCCCGCCTTCAGAAGAAGCGACCCTTTACAGTAGTTTTGTGTTTGTACACCTCAGGGGAACACAACTCACAGCATTAACAGCAGCTCAGAGAGGCACTAGGCCACTGCAGACACAATAGTGGTGTTACATAACCAAAGCCTAAAAACGTGCTTGAAATGTTGTGTCTGAGTGCAGGTTCGGATTAAGAGCTCCCTTGGCTCTCCCTCATGCTCGATACCTTCCTTTTAAAGTCCTTACCTGTGCAGTTTTTCTTACGCATAATTCCAGGAACGTCTGACAGATAATCAGGGTGCATCTTTTAAAGTCTCAGCACCAGAGAGGATTTCTCTCATTTTAAACTCTGGCAAAGTGGATGTTGTTACACTTGCCAAACAGATCATAGTGAGCCTATGTGCTAGCCGGACAAGGCTTAGTGTCCTCATGTTCCATCACTGCATGCAGCTTTCAGCCATGTATTTAGGTTTTACAGGGACACTGGTTTCTGGTCCCAGGCCATGCATTCCCCTCACAGAGATGACCACAGAGATGGCAGCAAGTGACCTCTCCCCCCTCCCCCCATCTAAAAGCTGTTGGGCCCTCTTCCTTGAGAGCTATGAGTGCAGTGACCTAAATCAGTGCACACTCAAAAGCATGGGTTAGTGAGGAACTGAAACAACCTCTTAAAGATGCTGTGTGTGTGTGTGTGTGTGTGTGTGTGTGTGTGTGTGTGTGTGTGTGTGTGTGTGTGTGTGTCCACTATAATCACCCCAATCAAGACTTTACAGCGAGATTAGGCTGAGAACCCATGGTAATCCGATTCCGATCGGCACGTTGTCAGAGCAGACAAACAATAAACAGTCTGGTGTCATTAGCCAATCAGGAATAAGAAAGTCAAGTGTGATGCATCGGTTTTATCGATCACGGGGACTACAGGTAGACACCCGTGAGCATACTTTTGAAAATATCAGGGTCTAAGTTTTCTTAGCTGATCATTAATAAATGTTTATTTAGGTTATGAAATTATTAGAGATGTACCAATTCTGGTTGTAAAGGCCGGCATTAATTTCCGATGTTTGTACAGCTGTGACCTGTTGATACAGGTTTTGATTGATTCGACATATCTCCAAAAACTAAAATGAACAGAATACTTAGTGCTAGTGAGAATTAGCGATGGTAAGTTCACGGACGGCGGAAAATGTCAGATTTTCTTAATCAGTGTTAGGCAGTGGTGCGTTTAAATATCAAAACCGTAAAAAGCTGGCTGTTTGTAGATTAAGCCGATCACATCGAATATTTGCCCCAATCACAAGCTCAATTTATGGTACATCTCTAATAATTGCATTTTTTTTTTCAAAGTAAAAAAAACTGCCGAAAGAAGAAGGATGTTAGCATTGTGAAATCACCATTGGTCAAAATACTCATACTTCAGGTACTGTATGCTGAGGCACTGTGTAACCATAACAACCAACATTGTAAATCAATGGTAAATCAGTTTTGACCCTCAAAAACAGAACCAATGCATCTTTATGGTTTTATTTGCATCTTCTGAAAATATGGTGAATATTGCACATTGTGGGCTGCAGATGTTGATCAGCTAGTTTTCCTAATTTCTAAAGATCGGTATTGGCCAAAGAAAAGCCCATATCAGTGGACCTCTACCCCTTACTGTTTTGTGTTGAGTTTCTGGACCATGTACTCACCATTGAGTCCATTGGGGATGCTCCTGTGATGGTGTGGAGCTGACAGGTCATCCATGGACCTCCTCATGGTGGGACCCATCTTACTGCTCTCTGAGGGAGGCTTTTGTATGTGGTTGTGATTGTGGTGGTCGGGGCTGCCTGCACTACCTGTGCTGGAAGTGCTGCTCCCGTCCCCAACATCCCGGACCGTCCCGGTTCCTCCGTTCAGGTTGGTCAGGCTGGACTGACTGTCTATGGAGCTCCTGGAGCCAGCCCCGTTCCTCTCCTCGTCCAGCATGAGGATGATCTCCTTCAGCTCAGAGTTCTCCCTCAGCACGGTGTCCTGGTTGGCCTCCAGCTCTTTCAGTTTCATCATGTAGGTGCCCACCTCCTTCCACATGGCGCTGGCGGTGTAGCGGCCGAACCGCTGCCACTCCCGGGACAGCTTTTTGCCCTTCTGCCTGTCGTCGTCCAGGAAGCAGCAGAGCTCCCGGAGCTCGTGGTTGTCATCCTGCAGCTTCTGGTTGATCTCCTTCAGATTCCGGATCTCGTGCAGGTGCACCTGCAGCCGCCTGTTGATGTCTTTCATCATGTTGCCATGCTCGATCATTAGACTCATTTTTTCACCGTCAACCCTCCGTAATTTCCTCACCAGCTCCTCTTTCGTGCACCGCAGCAGGTCCTCGTCCGTCAGCTGGCTCAGGTCATCCTTCGGCCCCTCGGAGGAATGTTTAGCCATGTTGATGATGTGAAATTTTCAGTCTGCTACTACAGCTTGGATAAAAAATTAAAACCCTTATTCAGCCTAACCTCAGTTGTGGAACTGTGTTAAAAAACGAACACATTGTCCAAAATAAATGATCAGATTTTCAAAAGGCCAACACAGATTCATGTGATGCTGTGGTAACCCGGACTGAAACCACCCACTATTCTGATTTAAGTAAAAACGTGAAAAACAACTATTACATTCCCTCAATTAACCTCTGTTTATCAATCTGTTCCCAGGAATTCCAGATCAGGATCCAGACAGTCCAGTCAGCACGAAAAGCGCATTTCATCACAGCTATGAGACCATCTTCACATCACTCCTCATTAACGGTGTAAAAATAAAACATGCAACAACTTGATTTTCAACGCTAATTATGCGCAAAAGCGTTTACGCAAAATAGCTCCAAATCGCCAGGTGCGCTTTCGGACGCCGTGAACGACGCTCTCCTCCTCGGATAAAAGCTCCTGAATAAGACGGTGAGTCGCAGGACTCGGGCTTGTTCTCCACTCTGCCAGCTCGGAATCACCAGCCCATTTTCCAGCGAACCTTCACCCCTCCTCCTCCTCCAGACTCGGGTTTGAAATCATTCAAGAGGATTTGGCTCGAAGGCGGCCAATCAAGGCGGAGGAGAAGAGCAGGTAGATGAAAGCGCGCAGGAGTCGATCAGTCAAGCTCCGCCCCCTTAAAGAGACAGTGCAAAGCGTTCAGGAGCGCATCGGAAAAAAAAAGTAGGAAATAATGTAATAGCACTGTAACAAACTTGTAACAATACATTTTAAAGTAATTTACTTATTAAAAGTTTGTTTCCAATATGCAACATTTTACAATAAAAGTGAAATTGGCGTTTAAAAGTATTCTAAAAAGTAGAGGGAAATTTTTTTTGACTATTTTTCTGTACAAATTTCAATTAAACCACTTTTGTTAAATAACAAATCCAACAGTTTCTCACTAAACAAAAATGTTATTGTAATTTTTTTCTTCAAAATTTTGAAACTACATATTAATAAATGTATTAAAACAACTTCAACTACATTTAAAAACACAACTTAATTACACATGTCACCTGAGTTTAACAAGGGGTTTGTTGACATTTTAACAACTTACCAGCACCCCCGTGTGGACACTTTCAGAGACATGAACAAAATACCTCTATGAACACCACACTTAACATAACATTAAGGTTATTCATCACTGCTTTATTCAAAATAATATTTTAATAAAAAGAAATACATTAGTTTGTATTTACATGTAAATGTTAAAACAATTAATTAATGTGAAACACTAATTTTACAAATATATGCAAAATTCATCACATGTTTATGAGAAAACAGTGCGGTTAACATCTATTTTTCAATTAATTACATTTATTAAACTTACTTAAACTTGCTTTTGCAACATTTATAGCATGTGGCTGAAGCCCAAAAAAAAACTCAGCTTGGAAGAAAAACTAACATATTCTATGTCACAGAGCACCACTTAGTTTCACATCCTGTGTCTGATGGAGCAAACCACTCCACTCTTTGGTCTCAGCATGCCAGTATCCTCAATGTCAAAGGTCTGTCCTGGGATGAGGGAGAACTCGAACCTCTGGATTAGCTTTGCCATCACAACTTTTGATTCCATCTGCAAACATCACAACCAACTGAGCTCCATCAACAATTTCCTGCATACTGTACATCTAGAAACATAACATAACATTTTATTTTGTTTTGTTTTTTTCACTCACCTGAGCAAAGTTTTGCCCCAAGCATGAGCGTGGTCCCAGGGCAAACGGGTAGTAACAGTAGTAGGGCCTTTATAAAAAAAAATACCAGAAAACAACATTTCACTTATTTAATCTTAAAGACAAAATGTGAGCAAAATCAAAACAGAAGTTAGATCCAAAGATCGTTAAAGGTCTTGTTCACTTGGTTTTTCAATAGATTTTATTTAGTCTAGCATGAATGAATGCCTTGTGATTCATTTTCTGGAAAAGAAGCTCGTGCATCCCAGTTTCAGAGGGGGAGAAGTTTATTGGGAGAGTGGGCTGGGAGAAATTTCCAGGATCTTGAGTCTAACTCATTAATATTCATGGTATGCCAACATCTTGCCTCTGACTGGCTACCAGCAGCAATGCGACTCTTCCCCTACCTCCGTTCACTCTTCTATTTTTGGTAACAAATTCAACACTGATGTCTTATCTCCACAAACAACACAAGCCTGGATGCGTTCTGTCATGTTGTGGAGTTGCTAATGCTAATGGTTAGCTTCTACTAGCAGAGACACATTCTGCCCTCTCCTGGCTGCTAAATCAACAACAGCCTTTCCGCAATCGAAAGCCAAGGTGGACGAGGCCATTAACGCCAACTTTCCCTCTTCTGACCTGATCGTTTCCCCCATCCATTTCCTTTCTACGACTAACGCAGGTAATAGGGGTTGAAGAAAACATTCACTTTCAGCATGCATAGGCAAGTCAAAGTGACCAATCAAATTCCAGAAATAAGTATTACACAGTTTCGGTAAAATCCAACTCACTTTGGAGCATCTGGGTGAAATCTGTCTGGATCAAACTTCAGTGGGTCCTTAAAAAATCTTTCCATCCTCCCAACTGCATAAGAACTAAACTGAAAATGAGAATATTATGTTACCCTTTCATAGTATGGAATCATCTCAAATCTACAATGTTAATATGTCATAAAACAAAAGACTCACCATGCAGGGCACTCCTCCCGGGATGCGGATACCATCAATCACCATGTCCTCCTCAATCTGACGAGATATGCCTGGAGACGTTGAATAGAGTCTCAGAGTCTCCTTTAGTACCTGTAGGAGGGTTACGCTGTGAAGTCCTTGTAGTAAATTAGAATTAACAGCCCTGTAATTATAAACTGGAGCAGAAGTTTTGCATGTTCTTGGTACGTACCTGTGAGAGGTAGCTCAGTTTTCCAAGATCTTCATAACTTATGTCTTGTTTCATACCAATGACATCATCCACTTCTGTTCTCACTCTGAAACGTTTAAGTAAAGCATCAGAAACGGTGTCTCCCCAACTAAAAGCGGAATGTTGTATTTAGTTATTTTACTTCTCCAGTATTTCAGGATGTCTTGCAAGTTCCATGACGCAGAACGCTAGCTGATTAGCGGTTGTTTCTTGGCCTAAAATGGGAAAAATCGAGACATAAAAGCAAATAACTATACAGCAGCAATGCTAGGGCAATTGCAATGTCGAAAAGGAATTACAGTGGGATGTGAAATTTCATGATTTTCCTGGGTAAATCGTTGGTTGTTACGATAAAAATGTCAGTTAAATATATCATATAGGAGGAACACACAGTGATATTTGAGAAGTGAAATAAGTTTATGAGATTTACAGAAAGTGTAAGCATAGACACAAACTCTTATATGTCTCTACAAGCCGTAAAGAGACTTACCAGCAATGAAGAATGTCACATAATTGTCCAACATGAACTCCTCGTCTTCTTCAGTCATGTTTTCTTTTTGCATAAGAGATTTTTTTTATGTTATCACCACGTTACATTTGTCCTCAGATGTTCCCCTTGTCATTCCAACCTGTTGCAGCGGTTTTGATGATCTGTGTGAGGATGTCCTTTGGGACATCTTCATCATTCTGCATGGCAGTCTTTCTCTTCTGGATAACTTCAGCCCCTGTTTTTCTCAGGAGGCGGCATGCTTCCCTCGCCTCCTTAATGAACCGTCTGTTCTTTGGATTGTACTGGAATAAAGAGACCTAAGTAGTCACACAGACTATTGTTCATAAAATGTTCTCATTGAACAAGAAGCATTACCTCAAAGGTAAAGTCTCTTATTTGGTACACCAGAGCGTTTAGGCAGATCTCTATGGCCTTGGGGAAAGGTGAACTATTCGACAGGGGGTCCAAATCCATACCAAATGCAACCTGAAATTTATCAAATAAACGTATATTATTATGATTAGTACCGAAGGGAATATTTTTAGCAACACTTCTTCATATTTAAATAGAAAAGATATTTTCTTCTTCTTCTTTATTTGTGTGGTAAAGTCTACCAATACAGGTGACACCTGCAAAATTAGAATACGGTGCAAAAGTTCATTTATGTCAAAAACACATCTTAGACTGAGAGATCATCTAAAGGCTCAGGAACCCTTTTAGGTGTTAAGGATTCATTAGTGACAAAAATGGACTTTTGCATCATATTCCATATATATTGGGGCAGCAGTAGCTCAACAGGTTGAGCGGGTTGTCCAGTAATCGGAAGGTTGCAGGTTCGATCCCAGCTCCGGACAGAGAATTCTGCTGTTGTGTCCTTGGGCAAGACACTTAACCTACCTTGCCTGCTGGTGGTGGTCGGAGGGACCGGTGGCGCCTGTGCTTGGCAGCCTCGCCTATGTCAGTGCGCCCCAGGGCAGCTGTGGCTACATCGTAGCTCATCACCATCAGTGTGTGAATGCGTGTGTGAATGGATGAATGATACACTGTAGTGTAAAGCGCTTTGGAGTCCTTACTCTGAGAGGTGCTATACAAGTGCGGGTCATTTATCATTTATCACATCAAACTTTTCAAGTGTCCCTTGTAGAAGAGGCTAGGAAACAGACGATACCTTTGCAATCACATCTAGAGTGACACAGTTGAACAGTTTGAGCATGAAGGCTTCTGTCTCGTTATCAGCAGCATCCCCGAGCTTATCCATCAGTTTCTCTGCTCGATCATTGAAGGTCCCAATTAGACCTCTCAGATACCTGCATGGTAATATAGTTCCAGAACAAGAAACACATCTAGAATCAACTCTTACACATACTGAGAGACAATGCTGCAGAGATTATATTCTTTTCACAAAGTTAGGGTAAAAATTATTCTAAATGAAAAAAAAAAATTAACAATAAAGAAAAAAAGAAACAACCCACAGGCTGCTGAAAGCAGGGTCCATGATCCGGCGTTGTTTATACCACTGATTATGATCTCGTGTTGTTACCAGGCCATTGCCAAAAAGCCTGCGAAACAGATAAGTAGGAGGATATATTTAATTAAGAAATCTTATGTTCTTTTTACCCTAACTGCAACAGAATGTTCAGTACTTCACATTGTTAGCTCAAAAATCAACCGATCACAAAGACTGCATCTTCTTCATTTATTATTACGTCTATAAAATCATTTAAAACTATCTGACAACACAGCCTGTTATTACTGAATATTATAGACATTAACCAATACAGACAACCTTTGACCAAAAAGTGTTTGGAGTCTTGTGTAGACAAACTCGTCCTTGGGGTACTTTGATGACATCAGGATTTCCTACAATGAGAAGCAATATGACATCAAACAGAGACAGTTGTTTTCACTGGAGAAAAGAGGAACACAAGGCCTGGAAGGAACCAAACACTAGCGTGTTTCACTGCTAGAGTTAGCATCTGCTAGTATTATGCTTTTTAAGAGATTTGTTTGGGACACCGCTATACCTAAAACCAGGCGGACATTGTGTGACTTTTGCACTTTTTTGAGCCAATTTTTCATTCGTGCCAGAATCCACAAGATCACATCAAATCAAAGATACTTTATTAATCCCAGAGGGAAATTAGGGTTTCAGTACACACAATTCAGAGATCAGACATACATGGGCAAGACACATGACAGGAATTGGTGACTGTGGTCATTCGCAACCAACCTGAGTCGCGCTACCTTAATAGCAGGCCCGGAGTGGCTAATCGGGAGGGTCTGGAGAATTCCCGGTGGGCCGCGCGATGTTTGGGCCGCATGGGCCGGTGCTCTCGTTTTTGTTTTTTATCATTTTATTTTTATTTTTTGGTGCCGGTGTTCAGTCATGGCACTGAGGCCGCCGGGCTGATCTCATACGCTCCTCCCGGCTGTCTCTACCTGCAGGCTGCAGCTCGTTTTTTTCCCCCCGTATGCTCCTGTGCGCACCACGTGACCACGCAGTTGACGGAAAGATGGAAAGTAGAAAGAGCAAGGGTGGCGCGGAGAAGGCAAGAATTAAAAAGAGGAAAGCGCTGGAAACAGATGCAGCTAAATGTGCAAAAATGAGCACCTTTTTTTCTCAAACAAGCTTGCGGTCTTTTACTTCAAATGAAGATAATACGGGTAAGGCAAGTCAAGATGTTAAACTTTACCGGCTGCAAATCACCATTCAAGTTAATTAATCATCAATAATGAATTATATGGCATCATGACATAACGTTATGTAATATAATTAACAGTATGATGTGACTGATGCCACCAAACTGTCTTGTAGCCCCTCAGAGTCAAACACAAGATCTAGTAGGCCTAATAAGCACCAGGCAGAAACCCACAATTCCAGAGCGGGCATGTACAGGTAGGATTACTTATTGAGTCAGTGAACTGAATATTATTAAAATTTATATGATGAAAACTATCCTGGCTCTATATGAAAGTGTTCTAAAATACTAGATGATTCAGCATTGATCAGAAAGCGTGTAAAAAAGGAAAATGAATGCTGAATTGTGACCATTTTCACACAATGTAGTGTCAGAAGAAGAGCCAGGAGCCAGCAGTGAGGGTATTGCTCCTGTTGGGATAGAAGGTGAGCAAACTCATGCGCAAACATCAGTTTCATTATAATAATTTTAATGTCCAAATAATAGTAGTGACCTGTTGTATTTTTATTAGTAAATGCACAAAGCCCACAACAGATCGCTATTAGAATGAAAGTAAAATGAAATAAGCCTGCATATTTTGCCATAGAAAATATTTTAATTGGTTACAAAAAATGTGTTTTCCATATCAAATGTGCTAAAGCTTTACAGATGATTATTTTAATTGTGTGCAGGTGAGTATAGGGAAACTGGAAAAAGTGTGAAAGGGAGTGCTGAGTCATTTCATTTTAAAGGTTTGAAAATCTCAGAACAGCTGTTTGAACAGAATGTAGATTGTTATATTGTCAGAGAATGTGTTGTAAAGAACAATGTTGGAGATGTGCACTTATGTTCAAATAAACCTACATTGTAAAGCAACTCTTTCTTGCACTGAATTACAAGGCTTTACCGAGTAGTGTGCTTTTGTAGACTATACATATAAAGTTCTAACATGATTTTAATAATAATTCGTTAAGTGGGCCGGTCTGGGGTCTGAAACTCCAGGGCTGAAAATGTGTCCCACTCCGGCCCTGCTTAATAGAGATAAGAGGGGCTACATGAGGATTGGTTCAGGTGGAGGGAAAAAAAAAGTCACTTCAGATTAACCCTCCCACCTGGAGGGCAGCTTTGCTCTGCAAAAAAACACCTCAAACATATATGCAACAGACTTCAGACAACACAACATAAGTGTCCACTGGGTGGGGTGGTGGGTTGGGACTATCCCTACTTCAATTCCTGCAGCATGTCACCTCAGTGTAGATAGGGGGAGGAGCATTGAGGGTTGGAGGGTTGCAGTGACCCTGGAACGTTTCAGCGGCTGTAGGAGCTAAAAGCAGTGTCCTGTGTACGTACAATTTGACATGTTGCTTATCAAGCCCAGCTGCTGCGTACGTGCTCCACAACATGTTGTTCAGTCCAGCTTATGTAACGTCCAGTAAGTTTTAAACTTCTTTTGACCAAATTAGGAGGTGAAAGTAGCACCCCATCATTTCCCGAAATCGCAGGAATGTGGGGGTGAAGCGGCAGCAGCAGAGTATAACTGATGCTGCGTGGTGTAGGAGAGAGGGGCTTTGCAGAAGGATTTCCAGCCGAGGTGTTTAGATCGAGGCTGGACGCTGTCCCATGAGGTGTTGGTAATGTATGGATGAGTTGTGTAAATAAATGCCCCACGCTGCGTTTTGGACAAGCTGTCTGTCTCTTGTGTTTTTGATAAGGCAAAAGAACCACATGGCCTTCCCGCAGTCCCGCCCAGGCTGGGAAAGGATACAGCGGGGCGAGTTTTGCGCTGAGTGTCGGGTAGTTTACAGGGGGTAATGAGAGGCGATTAACACCACAAGACGAGCTACCGATCAGCAATCGTGAGCTCACACGGATTTCTGGTATGTTTGATTTTTTTGCTTGTCCCTCGTGAGGGTTGGAGCAGCGCTGCGACCCAAAAGGTACCAGAACCGCTCACCGTGCGCCAGCTATTTCCCTAATAACAATAATAATTGTTAGTTTTTATTTCTACACTTTTTTTACGCACACAATGACAAGGATTGTCAAGAAAGCATGTTTATGTCAAATTAAACTGATGAAACATTGATTTGTTTTCTTTCATTTTTTTTGTCTTCCTCCTCCAACCTCCATAAATCCCTGTGTTCTCCTCCTACAGCACTCCCGTAGAACAACAGCCATCAATAACAACATAAAAAAAAGTCTGGCGTGTTGTGTAAAACCTGCTATTATTATTTTTAGGTCCGACATGTTGCTACCATGTGCATTGTGAGCAGTCAGGTCGCATCCGAGAACTGGGTTGTACAGTGTGAGCACATGACTCGTGAGATTTTCTCTGCGGGGAGTTGTGCAGTTTTAGCTGAAGCTGAGTGCTACGAGTGAAAAAGTCGCAGTGTCCGCCCAGCTTTAGGGGAGGTGTTAACTGGAAAAGCTTCTGCAACTCGCACTTCGACAATGAATTGTGAAAGAACAGGGAAAAAAAATAGAAACACACTGATTCTTGATGTAAGAACCGAGCCCACTCTTTCTTTTGGTACTTTTGGTGTTTACATGGTCATAGAGCACTTTGTGACTTATCAAAAAACAGTAAAAATGCTCAAAAACGCTGGCAATGAGGGGCTTTCTGATCAAAAAACAGCTGGCGGTGAATACGTTAAAATCTAACTAATTGGACATACCAAAAGTGCCTAAATACTATATTTTTCAATTATTCAATATTACTTAAATGTGTAATAATTTGTGAAATATTAAACGCATTTATCATTTCTTAAAAATAATTCATGTGCGTGCACCATAACTGAATTCATTTTAAAGTTAATTTGATAAAGTATGTAATTTTTAGATTTAAAATAATTCCTGACAAATTAAAATATTTTTTCATCAGCATAATTATGTCACTTTTGGCTTTCCATACATTTGGACACATTGCGACCGTTCGGAAAACATCCAGGGCTCCTGAACTCGAGCACTAATGTAGTTTGCGGTTTATACCAGACGCACCTTCGTAGCTTCTGGACAGGTCACACACAGGAAAACATAATGCAGGACATTCAGTCTGTAAACCGGCCCGTATGTCTCAGCCCTGCAGATAAAAGCAAACAAAGGCTGAAGATTTTATTTATGTTGGCTTGTGTGTGTGTGTGTGTGTGTGTGTGTGTGTGTGTGTGTGTGTGTGTGTGTGTGTGTGTGTGTGTGTGTGTGTGTGTGTGTTTAAATGTGACAGCTTTTTTAATCGACTTCATAAATAACGTCACTCACCATTCCAACAGCTTGTCGTGTATGAGTCCGTCATTTTTCATTATCCTCAGAAACGTCGGTGAATGTCCCAAAAAGAAACTTCAGGGACATAAAGACTGACTTAATGTTTGAACAATTACCATTACAAATGTTTTCTCTTACCTTCCCCTCGGTGGTCCGGGTATGTGCTCATATTTCATGTGGATGTATTTAATATAAAAGCAGTAACCGAGAAATGAAATAAAAAGAAGAAACATTAGAATTAAAACAGCTTTTACTCCGAAACTCAAGAGTAGGTGAAGAACTGCCATTTTGGTGAGTCCTCCTGCAGGGTAATGTATAGCAGGCCGTTCTAACATATAATCAAACCTCACTCATTTCGTGTTACATAATAGATACAGCCATAGTAGCAATTGTTACTTTGTAAAATGTAAGTAAATGAGTAAAACATATTAATCATATATCTACGGTATTCTACATCAGACAATATTTGTGGATATCTTTGGCAGGAAGGCAAATAGAGAAAATACTGAAGAGTTATTCCCTGGAAGAGTTAGGGATTTAACAGAGAGAATTCTGGATATCTGAAACAATCATTTAGGCCCACAAAAAAACTTTACAGATATTAATTTGACCAGCCCAAAGTTTATATGATACATTTGCTTGTGACGTTATCTGTACGTGAAGTGCATTTTTAGTTCTGGACTTATTTTGATTCAAAACCTAAAATATTGTCCCGACCCGTCAACCAAGCGATCCAGACGGTCAGGACGTCGAGATGGACACTGCCGGTGGCGTGGACCTCTGAGAGCCCGTAGACAGCTTGGAATGTGACCCTCTAGTCTGAGTAATCATCAGGTGACAACAGGAAGCTGGAATGCTTGCTTTGCGTCTAAGGCTGTACGGTAGCTCTTAAAAGAGCCGTTGTGTCTGTAATCACTCGCAAGCGTTGCAGAGAGGCTTTGACCTGATGTCAAAAGAAGGATGGTTTCAAAATGCTTGTTCCCCGATTTGGCTGGACCGGGAGTCAGCTAGAAACTGAATTAGATCAGGAAATAATTCTGTTTTATCAAATCACATTGTTGATCAATTTGGCATATCAGAATTTGACATGTTTGACGGCATTATCCAAACACCTCAGAATTCACCCCTTCCCTCAGATATAAAGAGAGGTTAACCCTTTGTGAAGTGGAAATGTTTTTAACAGCTATGTGAAGCAAAATGTTAAACAACAATAATAATAATCTTATAATGTGTATGAGTATACTGATGTAATGAAGTATAATTACATTTAAATAATGAGCCATAAGGCGTGGGATTCCATAGGAAATATGAAATCCACCTTATGGATCGCAGGGTTATTTAAACCAGAAGATTAGATCTTTTTATTGCAGGGATTAGATAACTGCTTCGTATTCACTCAGAGACAACAGAATAGAGAGAGTCAAGTTTAAAAGTTAAGAATTTTATTACTAACAAATTAAACTATACTGACTTTAAACTAAATGCATAGTGCAACTAAAATGGATGAGACGGTGAATGGATGACGTGTGATGTTAATCAGAACCAACAAATCCGAAGAAGCGATTGTTCTGACGGGAACTGAAGATGTTGTTTCGCATTAAGCTTTGGTTCGGAAGTTCAGAAACACGAGACACCATCATGCCGGTCTACCTACCCTTCGGGAAGTACTCTGTAGATCAGGAATATCGAGGTCCAGTGGACCCTCTCTGGAACCGAGCCGGTAGGAAAAGCTGCGGTTCCGATCAAACCCGTCTTAAGTTACTTCTGGGCATTCGACAAGTTATTGGCGTCTGGTGAGACCCAAGCCTGGGTCGGTGGATGGATGAGCTTTTGTTCTGAAAGGAACTGTTGCCGCTGGTTGGTATAGCGACTGGATTTTTCAGCCTGTCATTGTTCTTTCGGTTAAAGAGTTGAGATCAGGATTGGCCACTCCGTTACTTTCTCTGGAACGCTTTGAACTGGCGTTAAGAGCTGGCGTGGCATAGTTTTATACTTCGGATGTTATTGTTTATTGTCGAATGAAAAATGACCAAACACCATCAAAACCACGCCTCCGTCAGATCTGTAAGATTCTGATTGGATCAGTGAAAGTAATGTGTTATGTCTTTTTAACACTACGTGAAATGAGTCCTGTTGGAACACTTAAAGTCATATTACTTATTATATTCTATAGGATCATAATAAAGTAATTAATATTTTGATTTCACAGGTCGGTCACATCTTATTTATTGACTAACACTTTGATGGATTAGCTTTATTAAAATAGTTCTTTGATTAATTAAATGAAAAGAGTTCATTCTTCATTCTTTTGTTGAGCTGAAAATAAGCAGGTTAGAAGGAATGCATGAGACCTTGAGTTATATCTCATGCAGACTAGTCTTGAGCAACGAAGGGAAAAATAAGAGTCATTCCATTCCGTTACACTGATATATTAACTTGTTAAATCAACATATACTGATCTGGTGTAGTTTAAGATCTGAAATGAATCATTGCAGGAAAAATATTCATTTTAATACATCCTTGATTTAAGCACAGATTATTCAGACACTTTTGGATTTAAACATATTGTTCATTCAACACATTTGATTATTTCAACCTATAAATTGTAAAGTCATTTATGAACTTTATTCAGAGTGAAAAATGCAGGAGTCTCGCTTCTGCATGACACCTTGGGTGAAGATGTTATATTTTGTACGGTAACAAGGTCTGGTGCAGAGCTTTCTGGTTTGGAGGCCAGACAGATGGGGTGTTTGTGTCTGCAAATTAAATGTTACTTTCTGGTCATTTTTTGATGTAAACTTGACCTTCGATCCATTACACCAGTAACACCAGTGAACCAGCTTCTGGTACCTTTGGCAGTGTGGGCAGGTTCCGTGTCCTGCTGGAAAATTTAATCAGTATCTCCATAAAGCTTATCAACAGTAGAAAGCATAAGGTTCTTTAAAATGTTCCGGTAGATGTCTGTGTTTACTCTGGACTTCGGGAAAATGGACCACTGCTAGCAGACATGGTGCCCCAAATCATCAGACTGTGGAAAATTCACTCTGAACTTAAAGCAACATGGACTCGGTTCCTGTCCTCTTCCTCCAGACTCTGGAACCTTGATTTCTAAATGAACTTGAGACTATACATTCATCTGAAAAGCGGACTTTGAACTTCTGAGAAAGCCCAGTTGACAAGAAATGTGACGTGTGAAGCTCATGTGTGCAATCGGTCTGTAGGTAGAAGCTCTTGATGCTCTGACTCCAGCCTCTGACCACTGGTGAAGCTCCCTAGATCACCTTTCAAGGATGCGGTTCTCCCATTTGCTGAGGCATATTTTTCTACCAAACATTTTTCTTCCACTCAGCTTTCTATGAACATGTTTGCAACAAGCAGCTTCTTCAGCAATGGCCTTCTGTGGCCTCCCCTCCTTGTGGAGTGTGTCCATGACTGTCATCAGGACATCGGTCTAGCCAGATGATAGTTTAGCCTACTGACCCAGATTGGGACTATTTGAGCTCAGAAAACTTTTGCAGGTGTTTTAGTTGAACTTTTTCAAAATAATAAAATGTTCAGAGACACTGAATTTTGGATTTCTTACATGTAAGGTCTAATCATCAAAATTACATGAAATAAAGACTTGAAATGTTTTACTACTTGTGTAATGAATCTGAAATGAGTGACAAAAAATATTCAGGTTTTTCATGATATTCTAACTTTTGAGATGTAGCCTCTTCCTAGAGACAAGAACTCAGACCTGCAAGACATCACCAGTCCGAGAAACCTAGTGTCACCATGGTAACTTAAACATTTCCTCTTTTCAGAGCATTGCCACCACCTCGTGTTCATTTTCTCTGTTTGATTGTGCAAACTACTCCGCTCTTTGGCCTCAATGTGCCGGTGTCCAGGATGTCAAAGGTCTGTCCTGGGACGAGGGTGAATTCAAACCTCTGGATCAGTTTTGCCATCACAACTTTAGCCTCCATCTGAAAAGGCACAATGATTGGCTGATTGAGCCATGTCTGAATCTGTTGTACGTGTCATTTGTTAGTTCTTGGTTCCACCCACCTGTGCAAAGACCTGTCCCAGGCATGAGCGTGGACCCAAGGCAAAGGGGTAGTAGGTGTAATAAGGCCTTGGAAAACAGAAAATTTTCTTCTTTCAACTGACACAGAAATAGAAGTACAAAATCACACTCAGGAAATTGTTGACTTACTTTGGAGCATCTGGGTGAAATCTGTCAGGGTCGAACTTCAGAGGATCTTTGAAGAATTTTTCCATCCTTCCAGTTGTATAGGAGCTAAACTGAATTATATAATATATTATTAGTCACAATTAGATTTTTAAGAGTAGGATTAGGGTTAGGGCGAAAGTCGCAAGTAACAACCGTAGATCAACTGACAAATCAAGAGCTCTGCCCTCCGACTTAACTTTCTCTTCATCACAATGGACTAGTACAACTCCAGCATCACTGCAGACTCAGCATCAATCCGCCTATCGATCTTGCCCTCTGTAGCGTCATGAATGTCCTGTTTTTGACCTAAAGGTCATGATCTGCTGCGTCTGCTCGAGCAGAGACATAAAGTCTCTGACAGGCTAATCTACATGAGATAGTGGCCAAGGTCTTTCATGCGCTCAGCTCATCTGAACTGCTTCACCTCTGTTACCAAGACGAAGAACACTCTTTTGATAAATACATAATCAACAACTTTGTTAATTTCCATTAATAATGTGAGCCCAATGTTCAATCAATCTGTGAAATGACAATGTTATTACTTGATATTATAATCCTGTGATCAGTAGTATTTTACAAGTTATTATAATCCTGGACATTTGCACTAGACACTAGACACTTCTAGAGTTCTGGAACCCCCCAAGGCGCTTTACAACACAACCAGTCATTCACCCATTCACACACTGATGGTGATGAGCTACGATGTAGCCACAGCTGCCCTGGGGCGCACTGACAGAGGCGAGGCTGCCGAGCACTGGTGCCACCGGTCCCTCCGACCACCACCAGCAGGCAACGTGGGTTAAGTGTCTTGCCCAAGGACACAACGACAGGGACAGACTGAGCGGGACTCGAACCTGCAACCTTCCGATTACGGGGCGAGCACTTAACTCCTGTGCCACCGTCGCCCCCACATGCTAAAGTCACACGACACATTTCCTTTTGTCTGATCCAATCAGAACCTTCATTTCTGGCTAGGTGTGGTTTTCTGTGGTGTTTGTATAAACCCTCTTTTTGCATGTCAAATTCTGATTCGCCAGTAAACCAAAATATGACAATTATAAAAACTATCCCACACCACCTTTTCTTTAGTTCAAAGCGTTCTAGAGAAGTCTCGGACAGGCCATCCGGACTTCCTCTTCAGCCATAAAGAAC